AGAGTTTAAATGACATCAAATAAAAAATTTTAAATTAATTATCACGTCATTTGAACTCAAAATTTAATCAATATAGTATTATTATTTTTTTAATTACCCCAAAGATAGGCAGAAAGTGGGTGAAAAATTAGACAACATGGTACAAAAATTGATGCCTCAAAGTGATAAGTTGTTTTGAATAGAAAATTTGTGGGATCCACTTATTTTGTTTTTTTATGGATAAAAGTATAGTAAAATGGTGAGGTCCACGCTTGTGATTCTAGAAGTTGCAGCAAAAGAGCCAATAAAGACAAGGGCAATTATGGTAATTAAGTGATAAATTTTTTATTTATTTTTATTCTTATATCAACCAAAACAATAAAATATTCATATCTTTTAACTTTTCATCCTTTCTATCAAATAACAAGGAAGAAAAATACATTTTTTTTTCCTAAGGGATAGAAAGTCTATTCCTCATAATTTTTTATCTCTCTCATTTTTTATTCTTCCTACCAAACGGATCATAAGTATCATATTTACACGTGCCTTCACAACCTATCATGTTTCTTTGAAATCTCATTAATTGATAACACTATTTGATGATACACAAATTGATTTTACACATCACCTGTCAAGTGATAAGTAATAAAGTAGAGAGAGATAATAAGCTAAACGAGACAAGGATAAGATTCGGTCAAACGATGACATGGTGGTTGACTTCTTCTAAGACAGCGTGGATGAGGCTCATACATGACCCTTACTCTAACATGGGTAAGATGAGGCTATTGGGATAACCCTTACTCGAAGGTGACTAGGATGAGGCTTTTGGGATGACCTTTACTCCAAGGTGGCTAGGATGACCTTTCCTCCTTCCTTTGTGATGTAGCTTCCCGAACCCTGATAAGCTTGATTGGGCATGGATCTCAGTTGGGTTGGACTCATTGGATCTTGTCTAGTTGGTTTCTTTATTTAAACTGGATTTATAACATGAGTTGGACCCTTGGGCCTAGTCCATCATTTGCCACCCAATGTCCCGTGTCCAATGAAACTTGGAGAATAGGGCATTTAGTTGAACCTAGATCCTGGCTGATGAAAACTCCTCTTGACTACGGAATCAAAGTCATTGTCAAGGCAATCAATTTTCTAGCAATCTGAGAGAATCCAACTACGTCTATGTTGTGCTTTGACTGAATTTTGTGGATCGACCTGCCCTGTCAGGTGGCAAGGGCTGGACTATTGACATTTAAAGTCCCGCGGGTTACAGACAGCCTAAATTTCAAAAGCGTGCCTAGAGATGACAAAAATAATGTTATTCCAACATCAAAATATCTAATATGATTACCTGGAGAGAGAGAGGCAGACTGCTTGCGTGAGAGCAAAGACAGAGTTTGAGGATTGCTCGTGAGAGAACTACACCTCTTCAAATCGAGCTTTTGGCAACTCATGAGAGAGTTTCTAAACTGGAGGTAGGCTGACTATGATGCTGTCCACATAAGAGTAGAGGTTTGAGGGTTGATCGTGAGAAAGATGCACCTTTTGAGATCGAGCTTTTGGCGACCCGTGAGGGAGCCACTAAGCAAGAGGTATAGGTTGCTTGCTTGAGAGCAGAGTAGAGGCTAAGCTTTTGGTGATCCGCAAGAGAGCCGCTTAATTGGAAATATAGGCTACATGTTTGAGAACAGAGCAAAGATAGGTTAAACTTTCGGTGACTTGCGAGAGAGCCGCTCAGTTGAAGAAATAGGTGACTTGTTTGAGAGCAGAGCATATATACGTCAAGCTTTTGATGACCCGCGAGAGCCCCTTAGTTGGAGACATAAGCTGCCTGCTTGAGAGCAGAATAGAGATATGCCAAGCTTTTGGTAACCCGAGAGTCGCTCAGCTTGAGAGCAATGCAGAGATATGCTAAGCTTTTGGCGACCCGCGAGAGAGCCGTGCAACTGAAGATATATACTGTCTATTTGAGAGCAAAGTAGAGATAGGTGAAGCTTTCGGCGACTCATGAAAGAGTCGCTCAGTTGGAGACATAAGTTGTCTGCTTGAATGCAGAGCAGAGATAGACCAAACTTTTGGCGACCCTCGAGAAAGCCGTTATACTAGAGATAGACCACATACTTGAGAGCAAAATAGAGATAGAACAAACTTTGGCGACCTGCGAGAGAGTCGCTACGTTGGAGACGTATTGTCTATGAGGCTGCCTGCATGTGAATAGAGGTAGAATTTGAGGGTTAACCTATGAGATGAGAAGGGCGTTGAGGAGCTGGACACTTGGGACTAGCCGCCTATGGGGTTGGGCACCCACGGCCTAGATCTTGAGAGCTGGGCGCTTGTAGTGCTGGGTGCCTGAGGTGTTGGGAGCTTGGGGCTGGCGTTGAGCGCCTGAGTAAGAGCACTAATAGGCCCTTGGCACTTGGCGCTGAGTCTTCTTGACAATTTCTCTTCTTAAGCGGTGTGAGCTCAGCCACAAAATCTGTTAATGTCTATGCCTTTGTTGCTTTTTTTTTGTTAGAGTCGGGTTCAGGTGGTGATGATGATGGCGAGGACTCACCTCACTTGGCTTTGATGACATCCTTGACGTTTGTATTTCTGAGCTTTTGTCTACAATTTTGGCATGCTCTTTGGTAGGTGCTTCATCATTAAGAAAAGAAAGTTAGATGAGTGTAGGTCTCCCAAGAAAGCAGTTATGGTAACCTTTTCATTGGGCTCCTCAATGTGGAAGATCTCCTCGTTAAAACAAGTGAGGTAACTCCTCAGGCTTTTATCCTGGTCTTGTTTTATGCTAAGCAGGTGGGTGACAAACTTCTAGTGGGGGGCGTCCAACAATGAAATGTGCCACAAAGGATCTGCTTAATTCAGCGAAAGAGCTTATGGAGGCCGGGGCTGAGCTTGACGAATCATTGTCGTGCAGATCCCTTCAGAGTTGTTGGGAAGACTTTGTACATGATTTTATCAGGAATATTGTGCAGCTGCATCAATGACTTGTAAGTTTCAAGATGATCAAGTAGGTCTTTTATACCATCAAAGGTTTTAAGGGATGACATTTTGAACTTTTAGGGAAAAGGATAGTTTGCCACATCTGGCACAAAAGGTGTGTTAATTCGCCTTACAAGGTACTCCACAGTTTCTGGTCGTTGCACTTTCATGGCATTGAAGACGTCGCCCAATTGATTTTGTACTTCTTTAATATTTTTATTCCAGTGATTTGGGACTCCTTTGAAATTGTCATCGAAATCAATTTCATGCTCTGCACTTTTTTTCTTGTCCTCATCCTCTTGAAAATGAGGGTCTCTACCATAGGAAGGGGGAGTTAGAGGAGGAAGAGGAACAACCTCATAGTTCTAAGGAGGGGCTCCCTTGTGTGGGGCGCCGAAGGGGGCTCCAAAGCAAGTGGGGAAGGGCTCCAAAAGGGGTGCCCAAGTGGGGAGCTCCTTGACACCTAGAGCTTGGAGCTCCTCTGGCTTGATGTCCTCTAGGCTGTGCTCCACGTTGTTGTCTAGCGAGCTTCAGTTACAAGATCTGTTAATTCTGAGCTACGAGCTGTTGCATTGTCTCCAGCATCTGTTGTGCATTTGGAATGAGATTAGTTGGTGGAGGAGCAATCTCCTCCTCTCGTAGTGGATTGTCTTTAGGCTGATTCATGGGTGTGGTGGTGATTGCCATAGGTATAGGAAGAAGAGTGATTTCGTGAGAATTTTGTCAATTCCTACAAACGACGTCAAACTGATGATGCACAAATAAGTTTTTACACCACCTGTCAAGTGATCAATAATAAAATGGAGAGAGATAGTAAGCTAAACGAGACAATAATTTATAATGGCTCGGTCAACATGACCTACGACCACTTTGAAGAGTTTGGATGGCCTGATGTTGGTGTTTTATTACTTCAAAGAGTGTAAGGAGAGTAGAGAGATACAAGCTATGAGATAGAGAGGAGAGTGATAACAGATGTGCTCAATTGAGGGTGATGCCCCCCAAGTGTTGGTGGGGTTTACAATTTATAGTTGTCTCTATCAGTAACTAAAAGGCGAATTTGGTGGAACTGACGCCATCTTCTCAACGGATGAGTCAGTTATGACGCTCCCCATAAGATCCGATCAAATGATGATTTGGTGGTTGACTTTTTTCAAGGCAGCGTGGATGAGTCTCTTGGATGACCCTTATTCCAAGATGAGTAGAATGAAGCTCTTGGGATGACCCTTACTCTAAGGTGGCTAGGATGAGGCTCTTGAGATAACCCTTACTCCAAGGTGACTAAGAAGACCTTTCCTCAGTCTATTGTGATGTAGCTCTTCGAATCTTGATTGAGCATGGATCTCATTTGGGCTAGACCTATTGAATTTTGTCTAGTTGGACTCTTTATTTAGATTGGACTTATAACATGCATTGGGCCTGACCCATCACTATTAAACAAAATCGTTCTCAACTATTAATAAGGGTGCAATCTCAATTTAAATTTAAAAACATTTAACCCGAGTTCAACTTGAACCAGACCTTTAATAAGAAACTTTCAAACTAAGCTTAGATTTTTAAACTTGAGTCATTGTGAAAATTCGAGTTTAATTCTTGAGTTAATATAAGTTAGTATATTATCCTCATTTTAGATAGGTTAAAAATTTTAATCTAAACTCAAAATAGGTACAAAAAACACTATTTTTTGGGTAATATTCTCATGGAAAAATTCAAATCATCCACATAAAATCTAACAAAAAAATGTATTAATATTCTCTCAAATATATTTACACACTCAACTCACTAAATAAAATTAGTGGTTGGCCTATTGACTACCGCCCTCTTCGTTACATCTTAAACTCGCAGGTTTGAACGTCGTCGTCTTTCTTCGTGACCCCAAAAAAAAAAAAAAACTCACTATATCATACTTCATGTGAAGTCTACATGATCCAAGCTAAGTATCGGAAATTTGAAACTTGGATCACACAATACTACAAAAAACAAAGACAAAAAAACAAATGTTACTAATCAGTTTGTTGGTCTGATCTCTTTGCATTCTCATGTACATGGCTTCAATGGTGCAACGGGTTTGGACCGGTTGGGACAATTCACTTTTCGCCACCGTACTGTGGATTGATCTCGCTTCCAGGTGGCTCTGGTTGAGCATCAATGCCCGGTGGACGTGCCCGGTGGTGGTGGCGGTGTTTGAGAAATGGGGTGAAATTGAAGTTGCTGGGGGTTCGAAGAGCGATGAGAGAGAGATGAGGAAGTATTAATAAAGCCACTGGGGTTGAAGTGTTTGGGACCGTGGCATTCATGAAAGAATAATAAGAGGTGAGAGAGCCAAAACATGAGATACAATACATGGGAGATCTTCAAGGCCATGTTGGAGGAGGAGAAGAGTGAGAAGAGGAAACATGGAGCAATGATATATATATATATGGAGAGTAAAAACTATACAAGAGGCTTTAGTAGATTGAGATCAGTTTGTGAAGGCTGACAGCTTGAATCTAAAGGATGAATAAGAAATGTAGATGAGGGCTGAATCTAGAGGATGTTTGATCCCATGTGTGAGTCTTCTATGTATGTTTATTTGGTAATTTAATGTGTGTGTGTGTGTGAGAGAGAGAGATAAATTAAGGAGTAGCTATAGTGGTAATATGAACGAATTGTAAATTCAAATATTCTGAATTCGAATTTTGACAAAATAATGGGGTTAGGAGAAATTTATTCTTCATAAATATCTTAATTCCCGTGTGGATGATCTGTCTTTTACCAAGAATAATCGAGGTGCGCATAAATTGTGTGGTCACTTAACTTGAATTTAAGTCCAACTCAACCCAAGAATTTTATTACTTTTTAAATATTTGGGTTGGACTTGGACAAAAAATTCCAGCACAAATTGAGTTCGGACAATATTTCCGTTAGGACATTGGGTTGATGGGTTATACTTAAACCTAAACAGAATTTATGAAATAGGGTTGAACCCGATTTCAACCCAAAATTTAAAATAAAAAAATAAAAATTGCACATCTATTCATTATCATTTAGGTTTGAAGCCTATTATAGACGTGAAATTTATTCTTTCTATTTTCTAATTTAGTTTTGATTGGTGAAAGATTTATAGAATTTAGGTTCAATTTTGAGGCCAAACCAAAACTAAAACCAATGTTAGATTCAATTTGATTTTGATTAACGAGAAGCATGATTTTAATCTAATCTTAATCCGAATTATGTAACTTGAGCTCAACTTAAGTTCAAAAACTTAATCATAAGCTAGTCTCGGGTTGAAGTTGCACGAGTTAAAACATGGGTTGAGTTGAAGGTTTGATACTCTGAGTTGAGTCTAAATTGGCATCTCAACTCGTCTAAATTTCAACCCTATTTTCAACTCCAGCAAAAAAGCGGGCCTAATTGGTTGTTGAGGTTTTATGGGCCTTCGTATTGGACTTTTCTTCCCCACGTTACGTACCTAGTTTTTGTTTGGGCTTTTACCGCCATTCCATTTTAGGAAATACGACGTCGTCGGGAAAAGACTATAAAATGAGGCGGATTGCTTCGTTGCAACGCAAACCAGATTAGAAGAACATAAACAAAACTGCAACGGGATTTCCGTCGAACCAACAGCTTCACCGGAACTCGAAGAGATCTCCGATTAAATTCAATCACTCATATAATAAGAAGAAGAGAATATGGTATGAAAATCTAATCTCTCCCTCTGTCTCTTCAGATGTAAATATATGAAATTTTTAGGGTTTCATTGATTGATTGCTTGTGTATTAAGTAGTTTTTGTATTACGATTTATTATCAGTTAATTATTATTTGTTTTGGACGGTATGTATCAGTCCTTTCAATAATTCTAATACTTCGATTATACAAAAAGGATATTTCAACGAATTAGATCATAGAATTTTGTTTCACCCTAGAATTCGGATAAATTGAAAATTTGCTGGATTTTACGTGATAATGGGTTCATTATCAGTTAATTATTATTTGTTTTGGACGGTATGTATCAGTCCTTTCAATAATTCTACGTTTTCGATTATACAAAAAGGATATTTCAACGAATTGGATCATAGAATTTTGTTTCACCCTAGAATTCGGACAAATTGGAAATTTGCTGGATTTTACGCGATAATGGGTTCGTTTGCATGGTGAGAGGCCTTTAGGTGGAATTTAGGAATTGGGAGGACCGCCTTATAAATTTGTAAAGGATTTTTCAAAGCTTGGTGTGGTAGCCAAAAAAAAAATATCAATCATTGAGCTTATTCTTATTTTGTTTCCTTCACATTTTCTTTGTTTGAAACAAATTTATGGGGACCATATATTTACTAAGTCATCAACATGAAGCCAGTTTTTTTTTTTTTTAGTAATTGAACTATGAGTTTTAAGCTAACATTCTTACAGAAAAAAAAAAACTCATCTGTGGGTTTGTAGGAATTAGTATGCTTTTATATATGTAGTTCACGGGGCTTTGTTTGATGTTGTAAAGGGACGATCCCTTGATAAGTTTTTTAATGATCCGCTGCTTCGAGGAGTTGACACAGTGGAAGTTTTATCTCACATAGTCCATGTTGAGTTTTTCGTTGGTATAATTTATCTGTTTTTCATGTCATATGGATATGTAATTTTAGGATTTTAATTACTCTGTTCCTTAAGGTGCGCTGTTCTTTTTAAAAATTAAATCTTTGGTCTTTTATTCTTTTTGCCTTTCCTATTTTCATTAAATTGCTGAAATTGCTTTGTTGGTTTTCTGCAGTCTTCACTTGCAGCTGCTAGAGCAGACAATTTTTATTACCCACCAGAATGGACCCCAAAAAAGGTATGCTTGCTTAGAATTCAGTCCCAGCTGCTCTCTCTGTATTTTTGTATTATTTAGATGACGCATCGTTGTCGATTCTTATATGTCTTTTATCTTCAGGGTTCCTTAAACAAGTTTCATGGTCAGCATGCCTTGAGGGAGAGAGCAAGAAAAATAGACCAGGGCATCTTGATTATAAGGTATTGAATCAAAACCATTATAAGAAGTATGTGATTTAGGTTTTTTATTTCTAGCACAAAAGCAATGTATTTTTCAAAAAGTTTTGGAAATAGGGACATTCATCTAAGCTCTTGCACCTTAGGAAGAATACATTACACATTACATTGGGGCAAGGGATCCTTACGAAGACTTGAGATTCAGTAAATGAGAGATTTATAATTACTTAAGAGTCTCCCATACTTCCATGGCTCTTGATTTTTAAGTCTCTGGTGATGTTAAATTGGGGAAATAATATATATGTACATTGGTAATGACTATTGTATTTGTTTTTATTGAATTCTTGTGTAGCCATTAATCCAAAATGCACAAAGAAATGAAAAGATAAAAACTTTGATAACCACCTAAAAGAAGTTCTTTGATTTTTATACAATTTGAGAAAGCCTATTGGAGAATGTTGCTGTTACATTATATCAAAAGCATAGGTGAAAAAGATAAATAGAAGATAGTAATAAAAATATGAAAAGAAAAATGTTACCATGTTGAAATGGCTAGCTGCTAATATCAATTATTTTCCGAAGGTTCGAAATGCCTTTCAATATCTGGTGTGGTGGATGCAACTCTATGATCGCAAAGGGTGTAAGGTTCAATGCAGAGAAAAAGCAAGTGGGAAATTATTATTCTACGAAGGTATGCTGTAGTTCATTATAGATGCTCAAGTGAATTTTTGATCGAGGACTGTTAATACTGAATTTCTGCTTGCTTTGATTAGATATGGAGCTTTACCATGAAGTCTGCATGCTGCAAACATGAGATTGTTATTCAAACCGATCCAAAAAATTGCGAGTATGTGATTATTAGTGGGGCCACGCGGAAGACTGAGGAATACGACGTTGAAGATGCAGAAACCTTGGTACTCCCAGTTGATGAAGGTGATTATTAACATTGAAGTACTTATGTGTGGTTGGATGTCCCGTGGAAGTCCGGTGTGCTATGCTAGCATTTTGAAATGAGTTCATCTTGTTTTTTCTACGATTTAGATGAGCTATAAATACACATGCATACACACTTGTCTGTGGATGGTTTTTCCCTTTTCCCAAGGGATTATTAGGTTGCTTCCTTTTTTCTTATTGTGATGTCTCCTTGGTAGACCGGTAATGGCTGTTAACACGTTATGCATAATAACAAAGGTCTGAATACTGTAGATCAACGTTCAACAGTCTCATTTTTCTGGGTTTTTATTTGTAAAATGGTGTTGACATGTTATTGGTGATTTCCAGATAGAAGTAAGCTAGCAGATCCTTTCTACCGTCTTGAACACCAGGAAGCGGATTTGAAAAAGAAGAAAGAAGCTGATCCGGTACTCGTACGCCAGCAGCGGATGTCTGATGCTAGGCATTCAGATGATTATGCCTTGAACAAGGCTCTTCGAACCAAACTTAGGGTATGCTACTTAGCTAATGTCTGTTCTTTTTCATCTTCCCTCTTCCTCTTCCGTGACATCCCTTTATTTGCCTTCATTTTCACATTTCAGAGTCAAAAGAAAAGAGTTGCTGAAGAAGAGGCTGCTTCCAGGAAAATTGGACTTGGCATTAGACTACTGCCACCCTCTGAAGAAGATACCGCTGCCGCAGCTCGTGTTAGGTTCTCCTCCAAGTTTGATAGAAATAGGAAGGAGAAACGAGCATTGATAAACGCTGCTTCAATTTTTCCTGTGTCATCTGGATCTTCAAAGTCCCATTTGCAACGGTTGGAGTTAGAATCCAAGAGAAGAAAAATAAATGCAGCCACAGCTTCAAAGTTGCTGGTAGGGGGTTTTAAGCCATCCTCATGGTCTCGTACTGCTGTTTCTTCTGCTGGGCGGAACAGGATTTAAAGTTGCCTTGTGGTAAGTTTAGCTTGACCGAGTTCTGTACAGATCTTGAAAAATCTTTGTTGGCAGATTGGTAGCATGGCTCAATTCTGCCTCGGTTCAAATTTGCAATTGCTTTTTGTGCGTATATAAGCTCTAGGGATGGTTCAAAATTTTCATTTTTTCTTTACCCTTTTGTCCACTCTCTCCCCGGCTTTTGATTTTTATTTGTTACAGGTTTGAACCTTGTTGCCCTCCTCCTTGACCCAAAAAAATAGATTACCGCGGAATGACAGTTTTCTCAACTTATTATCTGCAATCAAAGATTATTTACATAACCATGAGTTTTATCATCTGAGTTCTCTCTCTACATTGGTATATATATTCGAAGAATTGGATCCGAATGATCTATATGCAGTCTCTCTCTCTCTCTCTCTCTTACACACACACACATATAGGTTTCTTAATCTGTTAGGCCATCCGTTGGATACACATCATCTGCATTGCTTGATGTTCAAGTCAGATATTATGGGCTTTGCAATTTAGGGAAGTCACATGCAGGCAGGGTCATGTATACATCTGCCTTGTGGCCCGTGCCTTTATCAATTTTTTTTTTCTTTCTAAAAGCATCATGGGTGGTTTATTAAAGCAATAGAAATTGGGATTTTTGGACATACACTTTTTTTTTAAGGTTAGCTGTTTATTTAATGGTCACCATTCCTACTTTTGGACCTTAAGGTTGAAGGTGCAAACTTCATTGTCCCATCTTGACATTAAAAAAAAAAAAAAACCCTTATTTTCTATTTAAGAAGTAAAAATGCACTTTTACTTTTCTTTCTATATTATCTTTGTATTATTTCTTTACTTGAAGTATTTGTTAGCATAAATTTTTTGGTTACCAAATAATAACTTATTTGTACTATATCAAAAGTTACAATCTAATTACACTAAGTTATAACTCAAATCATTTTTAAGAGTAAGCTAAAGTTTGTGAATAAATATTCATTACACTAGCGATACTTTATAATTATTAACAATTAATGTCACCATTTAATCCTAAATCATCACGAGTAATTCTACAAAATTTAAATAAAGCTAAAAAAATTATAATCCAAATGTTTTGTTTGTGCATTTCTTGTCAACTTTTTCAACGAAACTTACTCATCCTTATCCCCACCTAAAAATCACTCTCTCCCTTTGGTCTTCTAGTTTAGGAAGAGTGTTTGTTCTGTATTGTCCGTCTTCTTTCAAGACTAGCTACTCGGACTATTTTTCTTTTCTGTCAATTTTTTTAATGAAACTCACTAATTTAATACTCATCCAAAGAATGTTATGTCTTTGTGTTATAATTTTTTGATTCAATTTGGGTTGTATAGTATCTTTCCATCATCACCTGCACATAGTGAACTCCTCCATGTAATCTAATTTACTAATTAATTAATACAAGAATTTTAATTACAAACTTGATGATAGTGTAGTATTATCTTTACTAATTTGACAGAAATAGGAATTTGTTTTTATTAAACTAAAATGTTGCTAAAAAAAGAACAGTTTTTAATTTTTTTTTTTTTTTGCCAATATGCAAAAAAGGACAGAAAATTAAAGTGTTAGTAGCACAACAGTCCGAAAATGCCAGCTGGACAGCACAGAAGGTGAACATTGGAAATCCCAAAAATCAAAGTATGTGGTCGTTCGTACATCATTGGATCCTAACCGTGCCAACTGTACACAGAAACCCAGACAAAAGCATCTTCCTTACGGTGGGAAAAAAAAAACTAAAAAAAATTCATTCTAATCTTCCATAATATTTTCTCCGTTTTTAAATATACGTGGTTTAAAGTTTTTGTACAAAAATTAAAAAAATTATTAAATAACTCTAATATAAGTGAAAAATAATTACAAAAAATTAAAATACCTTTATTTAATACATATTAGGAAGGAAGAGAATATAAAAGACACTTAGCATTCACCAAATCTAATACATTTAAAAATTAAAGAGTCAATTTGAAAGAAAAAAATATTAATTATGCTTTGATTTCATTAAACGACAAATATTTTGAAACAAAAAAAATTGTGTAAAACGATAGATATTTAAGAACGAAATGAGTATTATTTTTTTCAATGGTCAGATATCTAAATTAATTTATGTGTACTTTAATTAAATTTTTTTTGATTTAATTAAAGACAGATAATCTATTTTAAAATTAAAATGTTAATAAAAAATAAATTCTTCATGTCCTAACTTCAAAAACTTATTAAGTCTTGAATTCTGCCCCAATACTATCAATGATGAGTAATATTCTATGAAATTCAAAATTTTATCTAATCATAATTAATATAACAAAAATTTTATTATTTTGAGTTTAAATCATTTATAAATAATGTTTAAGGACTCCGTGTAGTGTTTAGCCAAATACTTATTATTAATATACATAAACTTCAATTTGGTAGTCCACCCAATAAAACAAACAAAACTAATCCTTTGGAGTAAATAGTAATAATGATATTTGTTATATAGTGTCACTATTTAATAAAAATATAATAAATAAATAAATTTTATTAAATTTTGATATTACCCAACAACAATGATGTGTTGTTGCATTATGTTGAATACTAGTAATTGCCCGTGCCTGAAGGCACGGCGTAACGAAAAATTAGAACCACCAAAATTAATACATATTCAATCATCAACACATATCCAACCACCAAAACATCAAGTTAATCCCTACTAATTTCAAGAAATTTATGCAGAATTTCTTTTAAAAATAGATATACAGAAAAATATAAACCTGTCTACAAAACTTACAATCATCACTACATACCCAAACCACCAAAACAACCATCATTCCATACCCAAAATCATCATAATTATGTATAATTAGTTAACTTTACAAAAGACGGAACACAAAAAATACACACATACACAAAATAAAGAAACAACTTCATATTCTTTACAACTTATACCAAGTATCCTTCAATGTATACCTGAAAATATTTGAAATATAAAAATTATCGAAATAAGTGAGTTAAAATAAAACAATTGTAAATCCGAAACATAAGACCCCTTACTTTTTTCGTTAGTTGGATTCAATAAAATTAATTACATTACCCTGGAATGATTTAGATTGATATAAGTGAGTTAAAATAAAACAATTGTAAATCCGAAACATAAGACCCCTTACTTTTTTCGTTAGTTGGATTCAATAAAATTAATTACATTACCCTGGAATGATTTAGATTGATATAAGTAAGAATTTAGAGAGTTTGTAACAAATTATCAATTTATTTAGGAAAATATATGGAGGAATGTAGAGACTTACAATCAAATAAGATTTTCTTAGTATCATTTCAACAGACGGTTCATTTGCTTAATGATTTCAATCATAAATCTGTATTAGTGACAATATAATGGTGTGTGAGTTTGATTTGCGAGTGTTTGATTGGTTACAGTTATGTGTTTGTGTTTGTGCATGTATTGTGTGTTGTGTGTCTACATGAGAATAGAGAAATATAGAGTCTTAGTAAGAGAGATTTTCATACCTAAAAATTGTTTGGTCAGTGATGAGTTAGTCATCGTCAAAGGTGGACAGGTCGGTAATGGATTGCATATCATTTAACTCTCTTAAATGTCTTATTCATCCCTTTAAACCTTCTCTTCATCACTATCCTTAATGTCCTCGTATCAATACGAACGCACTTTGCCCAATGAGGAGAATGCACAACCACCTAATTATTCACATAAACAATAAAAGTAACACAATATTTATATTGTAGGAATAGTAAAGTTATTTTAATACAGTGACATAAAGTAGATTTACCTGATTACGTCGGCCCCATCCACAAAGGTCCATTGTATATACACTATCGTTCTCGTTGACAAATTCACTCCAATCCTATAAAGAATGAATCTCATTGTAAAACTAAAAGTTGAAATGATGAAAAGATTACATAATTCAGTAAAAATAAATTTGTTTAAACTATACCATTTACTTGTCGTAAGAATCTTATAACAAAACTTCTGGGTAAACAATATTTGTAGTGCAATTCGACCCATCTTCTGGAAGGAGGACTGTAATACGATCTGAAGATGTGCATCTAGATAGTGCCACATAAAGGTGTCCATGACTAAAAACAGGTGTCCGCAAATCAATCCCAACGAACTTCACAGATTGTCCTTGGGCTTTATTGATTGTCATAGCATAAGTTAATCGGACAGGAAACTGACGTCTTGTCATTCGAAAAGGCAAGTCCAAAGATGTTGGTGTCATTGATATTCTCGGAATGAAGACTAAATTGCCAATTTTATCTCCATTTAATATCTGAGCTTCGATTACCCTTGAGGCACATCTAACAACCATCAATCGCGTGCCATTACAAAGTCCATCCTTTGGTGCAATATTTCGTAACAACATTATTGGGCATCCAACTTTCAACTCCAATTTAAACGGTGGCAACCCTGAAGGATTCAGCGAGTTTAAGTACTCATTAGGATATCGATTCCTAATGGTACGGTCAAGCTCATCACCTTCAACATTTTATCTGCAGCTAAAAAAGTAATTGTCTCTCCCGGAGTAATATTCAGTGCTGCAGCATTTATATCACTGACGTCGTCATTACGCGCAGAGAGAATTGTGCGTTCAGTGAGAAAGGTTGGAGTCACTATACCAATCACATCCAATTGTGGATAGATTTTAAATATCAATTCATTTAGATTGTGACACCGGTTTATTGTAGATGGAAGTTGCACAATTTCACGTGGATTGGTCCCAATCTAAAAAATGAGAGTATAATTAGTCACAAAGTGAGATTTAATTCAAAGCATCATGTTAAAAAATTCAACAATTCAAGGTGGAATGAAATATTACCTCCATCAAGAATTTAGCAAAATTAGTATTTCGAACGTCGGTGCGAGTTAATCGCATGTTTAAACCTAGAGTCAAAACACATATATCTTTCCATAGCAAAGACCGTCTCAATGATGCACCCACAATTTGCTCACGAACGCCTTTAGGAATAACAGGCAATATTTGTCGAAAGTCTCCACCCAGGACAACAGTGATACCCCCAAAAGGTCTTTTATCGTCTCTGATATCTTGAAGGGTGCGATCGACTGCCTCAACACAGTATCGATGCTGCATAGGAACTTCATCCCATATTATCAACTTTGTTTTTCTAAACAATTCGGCATGCATTGATTGTTTAGTGAACCCACATATTGAATTGTCTAGGGTTTCCAAAGGAATACAAAATGTAGAATGTGCAGTGCGCCCCCCTACCAATAACAACGATGCAATACCAGATGAAGCCACAGTAACAACAACATGTCCATAACTACGCAATTTGGTTGCAATGGTATTGTACAAAAACGTTTTTCCC